CCTGCAAGTCAAACATGAAAATTGACCAGATTTACCACAGTTCCCCTTGTAACAGAATGCTGACAGCATGGTGTGATGTGGTATTTTCATAGGATTCACTAATTATATTGAAAGTGAATTCATATGACAGTAATTGCAATTACACTATGCTAATTAGCTTTTGTGTTCTTCATTGTGTTCTGTGTCAGTATAGACAGATATTGTTGCCTGCATGGAGCAGAAGGATGGAGGACTCTTGAGATGTCTCTTAGTAAGACAAGCTCATTGCCTGTCAACAGAACCGCTTCAGGGAAATTAGTGAAAAGAAGACAATTGAAAGAACTACAATGCAATTGACTCTCACGCACACATAAATACACGCACGCTCACAAACACACTCTCCTACATCTAAAATAATGAATCATTGCTCAGGAGTGGGATGCAGTGAGTAGCTTGATTCAGTCCACAATCATCACTTGTCCAGTGCAGTTATAGTTTTTTTGTCTCACATCTGACATTCAAGAGCATCCCACTTTCAGTCGATGTAGGTTTAACCAATCTATTATTAGACAAAAAGCAGGATAACAGTAAAAGAATCAGTATCAGAAAACGATACTGAACTATTCAGGTCAGGTCTGTACCTCAAGGCCTAACGGAATTGGAAAATTATAAAGATTAATTATTGATTTCCTAAATAAAGCAATAAGTAATAGAAGTAATGGAGGTTTATGATTGGTAGCTCGTGGCCAATCAGGGTAATAACATCAGGGAGACAAGGGTAATGAACAGAGAGTCCAAGTCTAATACAATTATAATTGTTCTCATAACAATTCTAGTTTGAGTCTCAACCTGAGCAACTCACTCTTAAAGGGATAGTTCAATGAAAAATGAGAATTCTGTCATCATTTGCTCACCCTCAAGTTGTTTCAAACCTGTATGATTTTCTTTCTTCTGTTGAACGTAAAAGAAGATATTTCAAAGAATGTTGGTAACTAAACAGTTTACGGTAACTATTGACTTCAGTAGTGTTTTTGCCATACTATGGAAGTCAATGGCTACCGTCAACATCAAAATACCTTCTTTTGTGCTCAGCAGAAGACAGAAACTCATACAGGTTTCAAACGACTAGAGGGTGAGTAAATCATGACAGAATTTTCATTTTGCTATGAACTATCCCTTTAAAGGGGTCATATGATGTTGCTAAAAAGAACATTATTTTGTGTATTTGGTGTAATGAAATGTGTTTATGCAGTTTAAGCAATAAATACATTATTTTCCACATACTGTACATTATTGTTTCTCCTCTATGCCCCGCCTTTCTGAAACGCGTCGATTTTTAC